GAATCGGTAATAAAGTTCAAATCATATCATATCATATCACTAATAAATAAAGCCGATTTCGTAACCAGACTACGAGACAACAACACTTGGCATTCCAATTTTTCGCCAAGTGTCGCGCCATATAGGCGACAAATAAGTATTATTGTGACATATATGATGCTAAGTAAGCGATTTTTGGATAGATATTTTAAGATAAAAATGTTGTATAGAGTTTTATTATCACTATACTTCTAATATTTCATATATACAAAATTAATCATAACTTTTAATAAATATCCTATAACTCGGTTTTATTTCCATCATAAAATTCGTTTAAAAAAGTTCTTAAAAATAAGATCCATTTATAATATATTTAATTTAGTAAAAAAATAATAGAGAATCAACAAAAATAAGTTTTAACCGGTAAAAATAATTTTGGTTTGGTAAAAATGCTTTCAGTTCAGTAAAAATAATATAAGTTCAATAACAATAATTTCAAGTCTAATAACATAGATATCTATTTACAAACAAAATTACAAAAAGTACACTATTTTATAAATAAGCGATAAGATATCGCATATCTAAATATCCTGCATTATCAAAAGGGATTACATGACCGTATTAATAAATATTCAAGCCAAAAAATTTATGCTAAAATTCTATCAACAATTCGGATATCGCTCGGATACAAAATTAGTTACGCAATAATTCAGGACCTAACAAAAGCCAAACTGAGTAGGGTCAGGAATTCCACTCGTTCCAAATTATGGAGAAGTATTGGCTCATAGTCTCATACAGTATATAGGAGTGAAAACGTTGATAAAAAAGATTGAATATTACTGTGTGAATGCTGACATTCATGTTAGTATGGAGTCTCTAATGTTGTCTAGTCTAGACTTTAGACTCCTTTATAAGTTTTTTTTTTTTTTTTTTTTTTTTTTTTTTTTTTTTTTGAAGACAAGACTCATTTATAAGTTTATACTGTATTATATAGGTTGAAACTTTATTAAAATGCAAGTTGATTGATATTGTTATTGTACGTATGTACTACTATGTAGTATGAGTGTGATCTCCTTTTTTCACGTACAGTCAAATTGAATAAGGATATATAATTCAATAATGTAATGTTTGAGGACATTTAATTGATGAAGTACATCATGTACAATCACGGCGGCGTAGTTAACAAAAACTTAGTATTGGTACCTTCTTAATTATCATGTTTTAATTTGCTATTTCATAATAGAAATAGTTGTGTGTTAATGTTCAAGAAATAAAGATAACAACTAGTCTTGGTAAGATTATATGAGAATTCTAAGTCAAAAGTTTATTTAAATTTACATTGTTAGCTTCTAGATTTAACAAATATTCGTTGTATGACTAATATCTCTATACCACGTGTAATTACAGATCATCTTTACTTTGATTATATTAGTAATTAAGCTTCTATCCTCAAATTAATCTATGGGTTTCTAATTTCTTATGAATATGGACTTGTGGTTAATTAGCAATTTTTAAAAAATAAGAAACATACAAAATTTTTACAATATTCAAAGAAGAATTCAACCATTCAAATGGAAAACAGTAAAATTAGTTATATTAAGTGAACTTTAGGTTGTAAAGGGTTAAGAAAGAGGTAGATTCCATTTACATAAGCAAATCTATCTTAATTCTTAGCACGCGCTTTAGGAAAAATTATTGACATCATATCTCGCCGAAAGAATAAATTAGCTAAGGACAGTTTTCTGTTAAGAACAAATCCAGCATGAGCATGCATTCAAAAGTTATGGTCAAACCGAATTTTAAAGGACTTCAACCCAATGCAACGAGCTTTCACTCCGCCGTTGATTCTTGTAATTTATTCTCCAACGGTATATTTGTGTTCTCCAAAAACCTCATAATCGTTAGTATTAATTAGATTATACGAGAATTGCGGACAAACTTGTAAATTTATTAAACTAATTAAGTTCAATATTATTGCTACATAACTTGAGAATTCACGACAAAAAATCATGTTTCATCTACACATGGATAGTAGTCATAGTATCAACTAATAATTTATTTTTTTACGCTACGTACTTATTTTACCAATTCAAAAACTATTATAATTTAATTCTAATATAATTAATTGACACATGATTATTATGTCTTGCATTTCTAAGTTCATAGTAATAAGAATATAAGATTAATTTAATAAGAATTTTTTTTATACATAAAAAAAAATTATTTTTCAAATAATCAAATTAATATAGTTACAACGCGTTTAGCCGCACCGTGTGACCGGTTGATACACACCAAAACACTGACCGAGTATCCTTTGATCGACCGAATTGAATACCCCTAACCGACCGAGTAACCCTTAACCAAATAACCTCTGACCGAGTAATCCCGGCCACACAGTGTGACCATCCTCATATGAAACTTTGTGATATAGTAAATATATTTTCTTTATCGTTAATTAGAAAATTTTTAAATTATTATTTATTTGTTGAAAGTTTTTTCCCATAATTAGATTTGTTTGATATAAAAAGGAATTGTCCTTGTGTATTTTAATAGTTGATGCATGAAATATAATATACATACATATATTGATTTATTGATTAAATAGAAATATATTATTAATTTCTTCCATGAAAATAGTAATACATACTTGTATAAGATATAAACAAAGTATTTAGAATTAGTAATAATTTTATTATAAAGAGAAATTAGAAAAGACAAAAAAAAATAGTGGTAAAACAATTTCCAGAAAATGGCATGTGTCAATTTATTAGATTCGTTTTAAATTAGCCCCTTTACTTTTTATACCAACGTCCATCAATCCGTCATTAGATCTATATACTCTTCTAGTCTTCGTTGCATTAAAGTGCAATCTTTTACATCCACAACGTATCAAATTATGTCATGTTTACAAGCATCTAGATGAAGAAATACCTTCTTTTTTTTTTCTCATTTATTAATTAATCTATAAGATTTAGCAAATTAAATAGAGGCTACATGTCAACTGCTTGGGAGAGATCATCTAGAGAAAATAGAAAAAACGGGCACATCCTTTGAACCTTCCAAGACCCACACACGTACTACACTATTTACAATTGTCTCCATGCAAACGTGAGGGAAAGTAGTCAATGCACCTTATTAAGGATAAGGCATTTGAATTGATAACTATCATGGAAATTTCTATACAATTTTAAATATTTATTTATTTTATAACTATCATTGATTTGAATGAATGATAAGTTCACTAGAAATTGTCTCCAGTTTTTAAATAGTTATTCTAAGTGAAAAATGTTATAATCTATCACATCTTTTTCATGTGGTCGAGGAGAATTTTGGGGTATAGTATACATTTTGGTCTATGTCCTTTTAAAATTAAAAAAAAAAAGAAAATAGAAAAACTTTTTCCATTAGTTCAAAGTCTTAAGATAGTGACAGTGTAACAACACATCATTAGTGTTATTGTACTAGGAGATCAATATATTCTCTATGATCTTCATTCTCACCCGAGCAAGGCGATTGACTATGCAATTTTTATCAAACAAATTAAAGACATGGTGTGTGTATGATGAATAGTATTTTGTTTACATTGAATTTTAATTTGAAACATGTTTCAATAATAATAAATAACAATTTGCAAAATTTGCGAGTTAATATATTTAAAGGACCAGATAAGGTAATGACCTACAAGAGTTTAGGTCATTACCTAAGACACAAACAAGTTCGTGATAAATTATTTACATTTTTACGGATCGAACAGGGACGAAAACAATTAACGAATTGTTGTCTTCTCCGATCATACATTCGGAAGAACACCAATCATTCAACCTAAACCACCATGCCGCCGACCACCGCGATATAGCCAAACACCTATGCGGGTAATTCATCCTTAACAAATATGTAATAATGCGATTTGTTAAGTTCGATCTCCACAGTGAAATACATAATAATATGGCGAAATTAATAAGGAAATAGTGTGTTTTATTTGGTAATTCATCCTTAACAAATACGTAATAATAAGGATATAATGTGTTAATTCATCCTTAACAAAAACTGAAAAATTCGAAATGCTACAAAACAAATTGATGAACGAAATTAAAGATCGAACTTCACAGTGAAACATTGAACGAATTAGTGAATAATAGTGACAAATTTGCATGAAATTTTTGATTTTGGATGAAGAAAATGAAGAACTAACGAACAATGAAGAACAATTTTTGTTTTTCATTTTTTAATTTTGATTTTCTGAAAAAAATTAAGAAATCAAAAACAGAATTTTTGAAATTATAAAATATAGTTGTCGAGAATAAAAAAACAATTTCAGAATTAAAAATATGAATTTTAATTAAAAAACTTTGAAAAGTCAAAGATGAAATTATAAAATATATCAAATTATGCCACATCATTACGCTTGTGATAGTCACTCTTCGAAAAGCTACTGTAAAATTTTCAAATAAATTAAATATGATCCAAATAAGCAATAATTAATTAATAAGGTAACTATGGAAGTAACTAAAAAGTAGAAAAGGCAATCTTATTGTACAGTTTTAATCTACTACTTTGATTTTTACAGGAAACAACTTTGATGTTAATATTTTTTTAATTATTATTAATTATTATCAAAACTTTTTCAAAAAATGATATTCAAACCACACATTAAAAAACCCAATGTCACAAAAAAAAAAAAAAAAAAAAAAAAAAGAAAAAAGTATTTCGTTCATTTTTCACATGTCCAAAAGAAAAAAAAAATAATCGTAATCTATAATAAGTTTAGGAATAATATCAACATTGATTCATAAAATCATCAATCCTATATTAAGAAAGATAATTAGATTGGTTTGTTAATATCCAATGTGACGAAAATCAACAATTTACCTTAATTTAATATCCGCCACTGGTTTGGTTTGCTAAATTTTTATTAATTTGCTAAATTAAGTTTTATCTTATCTTAATTAATTACATTTTCCATTATTCACTGTCTTTCCAAAGTTCACACCGTAACAACCATCAAGTCTTTCCTATATAAACTCTCCATCTCTCCTCTTTTTTAGAATTATCTCTCAAACAACTCATCTCTATTTCTCTCTTTCTCTTCTCTCTCTCCTCCCTTTTTATAATCTAATTAACACACTATTTCCTCATTATTATATACAAAGATCCAAAGAAAACAAAGTTGTAGCAAATTGTAATGGCGAAATTCGGCGCACTCTTTTTTATAGCTCTTATTGTTTGTTCTACCACTCTAAATTTTGCTGCTCGTCCTATGCCAGATTCTCCTCATGGGGTAAGTATTCTTACATTTTCCATATATTCATATCGTTTTAGTGTATTGTGCATGAATTAACGGATATATACAAAATATACGTAGTCCTCCCTCTATCTAGATTTAGTTGTCATCACGTTGATATGGTAAGCATTCGTAATTCAGTTAATCAATAAACAAATAAATGTCATCACGTTGATATGGTAAGCACTCGTAATTGAGTTACTTAATAATATAAACAGATAATTAGTGTAACACTAATTCCAGACAGAGGTAGTAGTAATGCGTCTAAATTCGTAAGTTTAATGGGCATTAATTCGTGCATGTAGAATTAGGCTAATTATTCCTTAAAAAAAATTAGGCTAATCATTCATAGCTAATTTCTGCGTTGGAATTATGTTAAACAGGACTCGGAAAAAGAGAATTTGAAGGTGAATGACATTGAAAATTGTCAAGGAGCTAGTGATGAGGACTGTTTGCTGCGGAGAACACTCGTGGCTCACACTGATTATATCTACACTCAAAGCCAAAATCCTTGAATAATACTCCGTACCTCGTATATGATTTCAGATTTTGCAGGAATTATCTTTTTGAGAATTTAATGTTAATTATATGATTACCATTTACTCGTGTGCTTTATCAATCTTGATATATGAGTTATGAGTATGTCAAAGTTACTTTATTTAATACTCGTATTTCCTTCGATTTTTTTTGTTTTTCACAACTTTGACTCTTTTTGGTCTTACAAAAGGATTGCAAGTGAGAAAAACAAAAGGTATCGAAAGGAATAACATGTAACAGCACATATAATTAAGAAATTTCATTTTTTGAATTAGTTTATGTACGAATTTGACCAGCTTTGTACTTGCTAGAAATTTCTCTTCTCACCCTTTGTTATTAAAGTTAAAGGATTTAATTAATCTCTATGACTTGTGAATGGTATAAAACACATCTCAAATAGCTAACCACGACATTAATTCAATAATTTACACGAACTAATATGACAATATTCATATAAGGAGTATGTCATAAATTGTTATAATAAACTACCATCATCGCTCGTGAAAATAACAAGGAAGTTTTGGTACATGAGGTCAAAAAGGGATGCCGATCATACAATAAGTGGAATAAGACAATAACCTAGATCACTTTATATTCACTTGTTATTTGTTAAAAGATGTTCAATATCACTCACTCATAAATAATTTTTTTTTCATAATATATTACTCTATTATTCTTATTACACATATAATACATGGTTTACAAACAATTGATCAACCACCTTAATTAAATAATGTTATTGTCAATGTGAGAGGATTACTATGTTTTCTAAAGTACGAAGTGACATTTTGTATGTTGACAATACACAATAGTATTAAATAATCGTTTACTTCTTATATATTTCATTAATTCTAATATCATCTTCAAGAATCAAGCTAGACACTACTTCCATTCAAATAAAAATGAGGATAGACGACCAATACTAGTAATACTACTATTCGTTCGTGCATTAATCATATGATCATAATATAATTTCTACCCCCCACCCCCCTCCTTTTGTTTTTAAAGAACAATCCAATAATAGCCCCAATTTCAATTCAAAAAATCATGTGCTTTGGACAATTTATACATTAGATGCCCTAAATATAACTATCGTGATATGAAAATTTTGACTTATTAGTTTTCTTTTGGCTTATTCAAAGTCGCAATTAAAGATTAATGAAAAAAAATAATATAAAATAAAGTATAAATACACGTAAAATCAACCGATTAAGGAAGAACAACAAAAACATACGAGCACTTACGTATTAATAAATTTAGATACTTAGCATTAATGGCGTTTACACTTCATCACCCTCCCTCCTATCAAATGAATGGTCCAAGTGAACTCTAATTAAAAAAAAAAAATGGTGTTTGATTTGAATGCTTCATTAGAAGGTTGCTAGCATGGGGCATACTTGGCAAAAACTTAGGAGAATGCATGGAATGGGGCCATTCTAGAAGCTTGAGATTAAATTGCACAGTAGCTTTGCTACTAAATTGGTTAGGTAGTTTGCAAATTGCATGTTACATATATCTTCCACCTAGCTACCATGCAAGCTTGCTATTTCTTTCTCTGTTCTAAAACTCTGTCTGTGATGATGACCTGTATAAAATCTTTTGAATTTTTTTGTAATAGTAATAATAATAAATCTGTCTCTGTCACATAACTTAAACTCAAACCTTAGGGTAGTTGCCCGTTGAGCACTTGAGCATAAATGTCATCACAGCCGGAACTTTGATGTGGAGAGATTATTATCAATACCTTACATTTACAAGTTTAAAATAATGCAATGTATATATGCCGATGTCTTCTAAAACTCTAGAGCTGTCGCATTGGTTACGCAGGCTGGAATCTAATCTGGTTATTTCAAATTTGAGTCATGTAAAATCATTGCGCCCATGTGAATTAATTTCTTACTCAAATCACTTCGGGTTAACCAAGTCAATTTTACATAGCTCTAGATTGACTCTTTAGCTCCCCATGATGAGCTTTAGAGTATTTGGCAAAAATATAAAATTTGAGTGACTGATACAAAGAGTTAAGTATATTATACACAGAGTAATACTATGTGAGGGAACACGTTACATAAATGAAGTTCACCACCTTAATTTCAACCGGCACAAATGTACAATGTACACTCTTTAGTATCTAATGCACGGAGTGTATGTGTATGAAACCACACATTAAAATAGATTCGTTTTTTTTTTTTTTTTTTTTTTTTGGCCAATAAAATGGAATCGAGGATTACATATGACTATATGAGGATATCATCACATTTTTCTTCCATTTGAATAAGTGGATTTGTAACTAAATCCCACATTACCCACAACAATTAGGCCAATGAACTACTATATCTAGAACTAGTAAGCGGCACAAATTCAAATTCAAACAATTTGACCCAAACAGAAATTTGTAGCTAGGAAAATGCCGAATTTATATAAGCTTTATGTTTTTATTTAATGGTTATGCATGGCAGTCAGATCTAGGCTTAGTCAAAGTGAATAGTTCCTCCGACAAGGATGAAATTACGCATCTTAAAACACATTTTATATGCTAAATATCTATAATTGTGTAGAGTAAAAATTATAAAAAATTGATATTGTGAAAGTATTTTATGAGATGAATCCAACTAGATCCCACATAACTATATTTTGCTTAACGTATAAATCATATTATATGGTCAAAAAAGAGTGATAAATAGTGTAATAAGTCCATTATTATCGGAGGAAATATTAATTTGAGCTAGTTCATACTTCATAGTCTTTTAACTCTTTATTTATGAGAGCGCACATAAAAGTGCGCTAACAAGTATAAATATGACATGATGTTCTGGATTTTTGAGTATTTGACTAAATCTTTTTGCATGGGCCTGACCAACACAACAAGGCTTTCTTGACTTTGCTATCTCATTGAAGAAACACCATTTTTACATTAAATTTTCCTTTGGACCAATTTTTTTTGTATTTTATTGCATTCTCACTAGTTGAGGGCTTTTAGTTTTGGGAAAAACTAGTTGAGTTGTCAATATAAAATAAAATTCCTAATGTTATCCAAATGAAGTAAATGATAGTATTAATTATGAGGTGATATAAATATAAATAAAATTAATTTCTTTTGTCCAAGTCATATTGGTGGGTAGATGACAAATCAAGATGTATGTGATGGATAAACAACTTTGTATCTTGTATATAATATAATTATTCTTCCCGATTAACATAAATTGATAGAATATAAACTCAATCTTGAATTTCAACCATTAGTTTAAAATTTTGATTGACTTGATCTTACAAGTTATAACATAAATCTTATAAAAGAAAAATTGATAACTTCATATACAATAAGTTTATTTTAGCCAAAACATATAAAGTACAGATTACGAAGTAGTGAAGTACTCAATATTGTTATACTAATCTAATCCAATGTCCAACTATAGTTCCAAATCCAATTCTACAAACAAATTATTTTGATGGCTACCTCTAACTAATAACAAAGGTCCCGTTCATTTCACCTTATTTTTGCTAAACTGAAATTATTTTTACTGAACTGAAATTATTTTTGCCGAACTTAAATTATTTTTACTGAACTGAAATTATTTTTGCTGAACTTAAATTATTTTTACTGATTTTCTGTTATATTTCTTCTTTAAAGTTACTGATTTTTTACTGAATTGAAATTATTTTTACTGAACTGAAATAATTTGTGCTGAACTAAAATAATTTTTACTGAATATTTTTTTTTTTAAGGTGAAGTGAACAGGGCCAAAGTAGCAAACTTAATTTAGAATCGTGTATTTTTCTCTCAAAGTAAATAGTTCATAATTTAGAGAGCAACAATATCTAACAGCTAACACAACATGTCCATAAACGCAAACATCTACTACGGGCTATGTTTTGTGGATAAGGGCTGAGCTCAAGTAGACATTGGGCCTTTGAATAGGTATATCAGCCCAAAGTGAAAGCCCGTTGTTAATTGTAGGAGAGAGAAAGAACCCTAAAATGAAGGAGTTGAGGAATAGGTGATCTTTTAGAAAGCAACGAAGAGATCAACAAAATGTTTTATCGACGTCGATTTCCGTCGATTCCCCTGGTTGCTGGTGCTGTCATGTTAGTTCTTTCATCTTTCTTCTTTATTTTGCTATTTCTTCTTTTAATTTCGTTTGTTTTGATTTAATTTGCTTATGATTGAATTTTGTAATTTTGATTGAGCTGTGTGGTTTTTGAATCAGTTTGTTTGTTAAAATGGATGGGAATTCGAACTAGCTTTGATGATGATGTTGCTAATTACTTGAAATTAATTTGAGAAATGGAAATTTCTAATTTCTATGCTTAAAAAGTTATATAACAAATTGAATTTGCTAAGATGAAGAAATCAATGAATCCTTTTAGCGATTTTCTGCAGAAATGTTAGAAGATGATTAATTTTGTAAACATTGCCAATTTTGGGGATTTTATTTTGTTCTAGCTTTGGAGTTTCGGTTGAATTTCCTTAACATTGTGTGTGTGGATGAGATAATGATCAATTTGAAGGGAAGGGCGACGTGGTGATGGAATTTGGGGAAGGAAATGGAATTGGATTGACGACTTTTAATCACCTTCCCGTTTCTAAATCAAATCCTTCCAATATTAGAAAGATTTCGAGACCCCTCTTGGTTATTAAACACATAATAAGGTAGTAGCATCTGGTTCCAATTGCGAGTTGTTGTTGTTGTCGTCGTCGTTGTTTTATGAGTAGCATCGCGGAGAGAGTGGAGCATAGTCGCCCTTTAATAGAATCCGGAGTATGTTCCCTTACCTCATCCCTACCACATTGTTATGCCTAAGAGCTGAAGGTCACTGCACCAGCTTCTCTTACTACACGGATATGATAGCCAATAGCTAGATATTCAGGCTTCTAGCAAAGCTTTTGGTTTTGTGAATCATAGCTTATAAATTATGATGACATTTTTTTCTTGATCTTCCTTTCTCAATCAATGAACTCATGACTTGGTGCAAAGGTCTGTTCTTCTCGCTCTTTACCAAAAGAGAAAAAATTTGTTATCTTCCACCTCTTCTGATGGAGATTTTAAATCTTTGAATTTATTGCCTCACTCAATAGCTGGAGTCACCATAGACATGCTTATATTTGGACATAATAGATCCCTATTTTTCGGCCAGCGACTCACAACCAATGTCTGTGAATTGTGAGTGCTTCAATATACTTTTGCACAAGGATGTTTATGTTTTTACTATGTCGTTGATGAAGCATTTTGCCTACTATAAGGTCTATTAAAAGTCTTCAGGGCATGCAGAAGATGAAGAAAAACACTTTCTGTATCCTCTCCAGTCCCCCCCTCCCCCAATTCTTGATGATTTCCCTTTGCAATACTTTTAAGTAGAATTGTGAATTTGTGATGTTTAAATTCAAAGAGGAGTAGCTGAACACCATACATCTAAATGATCTGATGTTTTAACTCTAAAGCATTGGTCTTTTTAGGCTTATCTAAGCAATGACTCGACTACGCTCCCTATTCAAGCCGATTAACCATCTTTTAGTAAATATTGAGTAGTGTTCTCTTCTTGGTTTAGCTCTCTTATAGTAGCCAAAAAGATTGTCAACATTCTGAGTATTAATATGAGCTTACAATAATTTGACTTGGATTCTAATTTTTTTGCAGAATTGGTGTTATATCTGGCAAGTCATTATTTGGCCCTCCATTGGAGGAGTATTGGAAGAAAAGACTCGAGGAGGAAGCTGTGACACCGGCAAGCAAGGAGAGTGACACAAAACCGCAATAGCAACTGGTACCTTAATTTCTTGTTTGATCATCTTTATAGCAATACACACTGCAACAGTGTTATGCTGATTGTTGTAAGGAGAAGGTTCAATAACTGAAGCTTCCCCAGATTTACCAATCTTACTGCATTGTTCACTGTTTCACTCCGAAGCACAAGTTTGAAGTTGCCTATGCTCAGTTAGCATCAGGCATTGTTGATGTCGGAATACTAATTTTTAAAGTTTTCGCTTAAATGGAACTGTTACCATGGAAAGATAGATACCATCGAATTCATTTATTCAACAATTCTTGTTTATAGTTGAGATATAATACTCCTCTGTTTCATGTCAATTGCATATTTGCATTACACTGATTGCACCACATCATCTGTATCCAACTGTGGCTTAAGATAACTGGTTTCAAGCTGGTGACTTGTTAAAATTATGAACACCGTATTGGAATCATCTCAAACCTTCCTTCATACTTCTGCGCTAGCCTATTCGATTTTCTAATAACCTTTAACCATATAATTATCTTAAGCACAATAAAAAATGATTATGGACAAAGTATTAAAGTAGTTTTGATGTCAAGTAATCTATCTAAATAAAGTCTGAATTGAGCAATTAGTACTATCATAAGTATCATTTCTACTAAAAATTTGTCAAAATGTCCTGTGTAAACCCGTACCATATTCGAATTAAACTTTGTGGGCCAAATTCACTGTACAGCCCAAACACAACGGGCTGTAAGATGTTCTGTCAGCCCAAGACTGCCAATCCTTATGGGCCTACATCAATGATTGTGCTATCTCTAGTATCTTTGATCTCTTCTTATTTCTAACGGTGTGTTTGGATAAAGAAATGGGAAAGAAAAGAAGGGGAGGGAAGAGAAAGGAAGGGGAGGGAAGAAAGATGAGTTTTCCTTCCAAATCTTTCCATTGTTGGAGAGATTAATTTCTTACAATTTAATCCTTCCATTTATCTCCCTTCCAATTCCCTTCCTTCCTTATTTGTTATCCAAATGAAAGATAATTCATCCCTCCTTTTCCTTTCCCTTCTTTTCCCTCTATTTTCTTCAATCCAAACAAAGTGTAACAGATCAGATCCGTCATATCACTTGCAGTTAGCTCATTTTCATACTTTGTTTGCTAAAATTGTTATGGTTTTTATTTATTTAAATGCCTTATTATTGATTTAAGATTTATCCCTCTTTTTAGCTATGTGATTATAGAGTTTTACTAATTTTTTTATGCAATTTGTAAAACTTTTTACTTTTCTTTCAAAGAAAAAACGAACTTTAATCAAAGGATTAATATGTTGGTTAAAGGGTGGCAATGATGCATATTAAGGACAGCATACCAATAATTGGATATTTAGCTATCCAAATCATCTATGTGCTGGCATTCTGTTATTCTCTATTTTGTCATTTTGTATTCTGTTATTTTGGTACAACGAATGTGTTAGATTCTCTGCCAGCTAGCTAGGCTCAGCTCCTTAGTGTATGTATTAAAGCTGTGATGGTGTAACGGTTATAATCAAGCAATCAAAATATCACTCTCTCTATTTTTCTCCTAATTTCTTCTCTGATCTAAAAACAGATTTCCTCTGCATTGAATAATTGCATCAGATTTCTTTCAGTCTTCAATGCAAAAGCACCATTAATCGTCTGATAGATTGCTATATGATGCACCAATTGTGCGAGTGCGTGTCAGCTGAGCTACCTTTCTCTTTTGAATACGATCCATTGAATTCCATCGTTTCTGATTTCGACTTAGTAATCCGATGAGCCAATGAATGATGAACTAGCCAGAAATTCAAGGTATATTCTAAGGTGCCACATTAATGTTCTTGGTAGTTGCTTGTTAGTGGAAGATAGATACTTTATTAAACGAGATCACTATAATTGTAAGTTGTGTAACCATAAGTCCATAAACATGAAACACACTTAGTACGAAATTTTGACTATTGAGTTATATATTTATGGAAGTGGATGGTAGTATTATGCCTGTAAAACAATTCCTGGGTATTTAATATTACACTTGTAATCTAAAATTATAAAGAAATGAGGCTTTCAAGTTCCAAGAGGACTCGTGACTTTTTTGTCAATACATTCTAAATTTCTAATGGAAGACATGATTTCATGAGTTAAGCAAATAGCTTTATTTCAACGTTGAAGCGGAAGCAATCAAGCACCATCAGGTACTGTTATAAACGGAATTGCACAAATAAAATAGTAAGAACAATGTTACCGAGAATAAGACTGAGTCGCGGACAATGTCGCTCTCTTTAGAACATTCGCGGCACTGCCTCAAACTTGTGCAAGCAGCTCGTACCAAACCGGATGCCCCCAGGATAAAACAGGCTTTCACAAGTATAAAATACCGACGGTTTTGCACCGAACCACCGGACAACGGAACACCAGAAAATTAGAAAGAAACTGCTCGACTGTTTTGAGAGGAAGAGAAAATATATTTTGCAAAGTGGTTTTCTGTATTTTTTCGTGTGTTTAAAAACAAAGCTGGAACCGTCCTTTTATAGGTAAAGATACGTAACAGCTTAAGCATGAAAACGGGAGAAAGATTAGCAACGTTTACTGCAATTAGTGTATCCGTTAAGCAAGAATCAAGGCATTAAATCAGTGTAACGGTGCAACGTTTAGCAGTAAAACAACAACGAGAATCAAGCAATGTAACGGAAAAATTTAAACCAAAACAGTAAAACGTTTTGTAACTGAATATTAATCAAACCGGTAACAAAAATTAAGTTTGTTTAATAACCCAAACCCAAACCCGAACCCGACCCAGCCAGCCCGGCTCGGCTCGGCGCGCGTGTGTGATATATGGTTTACCATATAGGTCCTCCCTCTCCACAAAATGTGGGTAGCCCAAGGGCCACACCCCTTTAGCCCACTCTCTATATTATAAAGAGAGTAAAACTCTCATTTCCCACCAATGTGGGACTTTGAGTTTTTTCACAAAATTCACACACTACACACTTGTTGTTCCAACAATCCCCCACTTGAATTTTTTGAAAACATTTTCGAGCAGAATCCATACATATATAGGTTGCGCATAAACAGAAGTGTTTTTCAACTTGAACTTCTACGTAGTGAGTACGATTCAGATTCAACAAGGGTGACTCGAAGTTTTGAACCCTATCTCTGACAAAGTACCACACACAACCTACTCTTGGTGTTGTTCTAGACCCGTGCTATTTCGGCCATGCACGTCTATCCCAGTGTAGTGAATGCTCTAGAAATGCTGCCACACATTTCATAGGAAGCGGCCTAACTTCCACATTCACATAGGTGAATCTATCAAGAGTACTCCTGTAGCTTGGTACTCCACTCCAAATTGGAGTATAGATTTCATTAAGAGTTCCTATTAACTCATCTTTGATCGCTTCAGGAAATTATGTCTTTTGAACATATTCAACTCATATCACACCATAACTTGTTATTACCCTTTGAACCTATTTCTTGGGATCTCCAGTTCATAGGTTGGGTTACCATTATGTGTGGTTCATTTCAATGGCAATAGTCCCATTTTCTTAGAGGAAAAATGGACTTTCTCCCTAGCTAATCCTTTCGTCAAAGGATCAGCCAAGTTATTCTCAGTGCGTACGTGATCCACTCTAACAGCTCCGATAGAGAGATATTCTCTCACAGTGCTGTGCTTACGACGTATTTGTCGTCTCTTACCGTTGTAATAACGGTTCTGAACTTTTGCAATAGCCGCGGTACTATCACAATGGATCAAGACAGCTGGTAATGGCTTTTCCCATAGGGGAATTTCACCTAGCAGGCCTCTTAACCAACCTGCTTCTTCACTAGCCGTAGCTAGTGCTATCATTTCTGACTCCATGGTGGACTGAGCCAAAATAGTCTGTTTCTTAGACTTCCAAGATACAGCTCCACCGGCTATAGAAAAAATATATCCACTAGTAGCCTTAGAGTCATCTGATAAGGCGTTCCAGTCAGCATCACTATAGCCTTCTAGTACAGCTGGAAACCTTTCATAATGCAACCCTAGGTTCATGGTCCTCTTAAGGTATCTCATGACCCTTTCAATAGCATGCGAATGCTCATTACCAGGACAACTAGTAAACCTGCCTAACAATCCCACGACATAGGAAATGTCGGGTCTAGTACAATCAGTGGCATACCGAAGGCTGCCAATGATGCTCGCATAATCAGATTGCCTTACGGCATCACCAGTGTTCTTAAATAATTTAACACTGGAGTCATAAGGTGTATTAGCAGGTTTACAGTCAAAGTAACCATATTTCTTTAGGATTTTCTCAATGTAATGAGATTGATCCAAAGAAACTCCATTTTCTGTCCTAGTAATCTTAATTCTAAGGATTACATTAGCCTCTCCTAGGTCTTTCATGTCAAACTCAGCATTCAACAATAGCTTTACATCATTCACAGCATGAATGTTCGAGCCAAAAATTAACAAGTCATCCACATATAGACAAATTATAGTGCATATGTCATTCTCAAATTTTACATATATGCATTTGTCACTACCATTTATCTTAAAACCATGTGAGATGACTAAGTTATCAAATTTTTCATGCCATTGTTTAGGTGCTTGTTTGAGACCATAAAGAGATTTATCTAGCTTACATACCAGATGCTCTTTTCCTTGAACAACGAATCCTTCCGGTTGATCCATGTAGATTTCTTCTTCCAATTCACCGTTCAAGAATGCAGTCTTTACATCCATCTAATGTACTACAAGATTAAAAACAGAAGCAAGAGATATTAGTACTCTAATAGATGTTACTCTAGTTACAGGTGAATAGGTATCAAAGAAATCAACATTCTCCCTCTGTCTGTAGCCTTTAGCTACCAAACGGGCTTTGAACTTATCAACGGTCCCATCAACTTTCAGCTTTCTTTTTAGGACCCATTTGCAACCAATTGACTTGCAGCCTGGTGGCAACTCAGTTAGATGCCAAGTTCGATTAGACTCAAGTGAGTCCATTTCGTCGTTCACGGCTTCTTGCCATAAATCTGCATCAACTGAGGTTAGAGCTTCTTGGAGGGTAGAAGGATCCTCCTCTACATTAAGAACTACAAAGTCTGGGCCGAAGTCTTTTGCTACTCTAGCCCGCTTTCTCTTTCTTAGTTCGGGTTCAGCATCCAATTCTTGTGAGTTAGACCTGACTTTAGGAATAATAGAGGTGGACGAACCCCCGCTATTTCTATATTTAAAAGGAAACATGTCCTCATAAAAATCAACATCATTAGATTCAATAATTACACGAGCATTTAAATCAAAGAATCTATATGCCTTACTGTTAATAGCATATCCAATGAATACACATTCATAAGCTCTACTAGCT